TTCAAAATAAATTAATGTGATTATGTCTAATATAGGAGTTTGTAAATAAATAGGGATGTCCATTATTCGTATTAAAACCAAATTTAATTCAATCTAATCCAAATTATTAATTCTGATTGGATTGAATTTTTATTATTTTTTTAACAAAGATTTTTAGAGTGGATCGAATCGACCTTGTTTGAAACAAAGAAAGCAAAATATTAAATCGTGTATTTATAAATATGGACTGTCCTTAGTCGAAATTGTATCCAATTCGATATTGAAGTTAACTATTTGTATTAATCATGTAAAACTATTTGTATGCTTTTTCCAATGTCAAAATAATAATAATAATAATAATAATAATAATAATAATAATAATAATAAAATCATGCAAAACTATTATGTAGTCTATTTTTTTTTTTTCTAAAAGCTCAATAAAACTTAATCTTGCCTCCATGTAGACATATTTTTATTTGATTCATCGTTAGTGAACTGTCTAATCTGTTCATAACCCAAAAGTGTGTGGTTGGGATTTATATGATCTTCATATTCTCATTGGTACAGGATAACATATTTTTGTGTTTCAACCATCAGCTTAAAGTTTTGGTTGAGTTGGTCAACTAATATGATATCGGAGCTATATGTCATAAAGGTCAAAGGTTCGAATCTCATCCATACTTCAAGCCCAATGAGCTCTCGTATGAAGGGGCGTCATAGAGTATAAAACATATTTCTGGCCTTTAACCATCAGTTTAAGCTTTTGGTTGAGTTGACCGTACCCGTTAACACTTATCTATAAGTCTATAACTAGTACAAAATAACAACTGCTGACATCATCTTTTTTTTCAAATTATACAGGTGCCATTTTCTCCTTTAATTTTTTTTTTCGTCTAAACTTTTTTTTTTTCCCAATATTATATTGGGAAAGCTAAATATTGATTGCAAAATAAGTACATTATTTTAGGGTACATAAAACTAATCTTATGGAAAGCAAATATTAAAGGACGCCATTTTGATAAGTAGGTAGGAATATAGGTCATTGGACTAACCTGAGTAACCTCCTATTATCAAATACATTTATATCACTCAACTACCTAATATATACAAGTATAAGACAAGTAGAGGGTCGAACCACAAGGACTAAGGGTATTGAAATGAGTCGATTAAGGCGATAAGCTAGGTTGGAAGCATAGAAAGAAGGTTCAAATAAACTAAGCCAAGGTCGGGATCGACAATAAGAGACAGACACTAGGGAAGGGGGATCAAAAAGCTGATGATGCAATCAATAACCAACAACCATTCTATTAAGACAATGGAATCAAGGGGGTAAATTAACTAATAGATCACTCCCGCGCACACTAGATAGTCAAACACCCATTATCAACTAGCTCACTCGCGCATAATTAGTTAATAATAGCTATTTGATAAATAAACGCCCTAAACTAGCTCACTTTTGCAATAGTCTAGAAATATAATCTGTTTATATGATTACTCTGTCTAATTACAAAGTCTACTAAATTTTGTTGTAGACATAAATTTTATTTTGTTTGTATTATTATAATATTTTTTTAGTTTGATTTATGTTAGTCTAAATTTTTTACACGCTTTGAGTGATAGTATAACTTGAAAATGTATACAATAATTTTAAATTCTTTTTATTATATCCGTGCATCGCACTGTTGACCCTTATGAGGTTTTGATGATGATGTTAAGAATTGAGCAAACTTCCTTTTAATAAGGATTTTCTAGTGTTGTGATGTTTGCAGGTTCAGTAAGCGTTGGGAGCTGAAGTAGGAACTGAGACAAAGGAGCTTTAGAAGATCCATGAGGGCAAGTAAAGACAGAAGAAGAGTTCCAGCAATGGAACTTCCTCAAGTTCCTTAACAGGAACTTCAAAACAGGTTGTAACGACCTGGTGCCGGTGTAATGCTGGGGCAAGCCTCAACAACCAAGGATTAGTGCAAAGATCGAGATATCAACTGAAAAAGATGGACTTCATAACTTATAGTTGTATAAAAGATAAGTTTGTTTTGTAGGTTGATGTAAACTCATTAATGGCTGTTATGCATGGAACTTATTAGAAATCAGATAAGGCTTGACAAACTAATCAATTCGTAAAAGATAATTATGAAAAAGTATTTATTTGATTTTATCCTAAAAATCTGATTTAACTCGGTTTTTATCTTTTTCATAAAATTCTATCTTTTAACTAAAACGAATTTGATAAAATTTGGTTTTCAATAAAACGAAATTAAATCTGTTTTGGTTTCAGTTTTAAAAAGATAAGATTAGATTTTTGTTTAACTTATCTTATTTACAAAGATCTTATTTTGTGAGCTGAGGAAGCTCTATAAATATAGAAGCAATTCAGCAAAGAAAAATGAGAGTTTTAAGCGTGAAAACCACTTAGTGCTTAACAATAAGTTTTCCAAAGGTTTAAGCTTTATCATTTTTATTTCGGGTTTCATGTGTAGCTTTCCATTTATGTGTTAGAGCGTGTCTTTGTGTTGTAATTGGTTTTGGGGTGAGATTGTGAATTCTCTTAAATTCACGTTTGAGTGTATGAGTTTGAATTCTCTAAAATTCGAGTGGTAATTAGTCACCCCGAGTGTGTCTTGGGTTGCACAGTGAGAAAAAGGAACCTGAGTGTGTCTTAGGTCGATAAAGGAACCCGAGTGTGTCTTGGGTCGAAAAAGGTGCCTGAGTGTGTCTTGGGTCTGATAGGATAGGTTCTTATCAATTAGCAAGTGTCCGAGGAGGAACTTGCGAAGCAAAGGTCTGTGTAATAGGTTGTAGTAGGAGAGTTGCCTATTATAGTGGAATTTGTTTATAAGTCCCAATAGGGCCGAGGTTTTAATTCCAGCTAGACACTGGATGGTTTCCTCGTAAAACTTGCTGTGTGCTTTAAGTTCCTTTACGTTTTGTTTTTAATATTCCGCATAAGTTCTGCGATTGGAACCTACTACCATTCACCCCCCTCTTGTAGTAGTTCATTTAAACTAACACGCAGGAAAGCTAATACTGTGTTATAATACATTAGGATTTTGAATCCATATATGATCACGACGTGATCTATACCGTCTATTTTAATTCCACGTAAAGTTGATTGACCGAAGAAAAGTAAACCAGTATGTTACTAAAAAGAAATTAAAGAATTAGTGATTAAGGAAAAGAAGCAAAATTGGGTCGATTATAAAAAAAAAACACTTTGGTTAATTAGTTAGCCGAAAGTGAGTATTTAATTATATAAGATGGGTAACTAATAATAGTTATATAATAGACTATATGTGTACTGTTTAATTGATCCCAGAAGCTAATCTACTTTTTTATTATGTCGTGTATTTTTTAATTAAGGGTCATCAGTAAGAACATTCAATATTCAACATTATTCTTTAACTAAATATTTAACATTAAACATTCTTCTTTAAACTAATCGACATTCAACGTATTCTTGAGCTTTGAGTAATGAATTTATTTTATACCAAGTATGGAGTATTTACAAAGAAAAAAACTAATTCAGAAAAAAATCATGGTAATTTATAGCTTTATCCTGGTCAAATTTCTTGCAATAATGATATACATGAATAATATGTGTTATTCCAAAGAACCTTATGATGGTAAACAAACAATTTATTTTTTCATGTGATAAAGACTCACATGAGTAGAAAATAAATATTTCACACTTTATAAAGTTATACTCCCTCCGTTTCATAATGTTAGTCCTATAAGCTATTTTGGCCGTTTTAAAAAGTTCTACCCATATTGAATATATTTCATTTATGACTTGAATTTTTTTGGAATTAATTTATTATGGATTGATGACATGACTCTAATTAAGAAAATTTTTACCTTAAATTATGCAATTATGATTTGTGCTTTCCTAATGAAAAATAAAAAAAAGTTAAATAAGGTAAACTAATTATGAAATCTGTTGTACTTTAATGTTAGATTCCAAATACATTTGTTTTCTAATTTTATGAGATTGATTCCATATGAGACTAACATTATGAAACAGGGGGGGGTATTAATATGTTCGATCAATTCTTTGCACTTATTGTTAAAGCATTAACTCAACTTAAAGCTTAAATTAGTTGTTCAGGTCCATTAACATGTTTTATATATTCTATCACGCCACCTTACACGCCTGATAGCCCTAAGTAAGCTTGAAGAATGGAATGCAGTAGCTTGAACTGGGTCTATTATCTCCTCATACTCAACACAAAAATTAACTCACTTTGAGATTTGAATTCGTCATGACCCTTGTGTCACATTGTTGGCTCCAATGCCACATTAAAGGACCAATTAAAAACTTAAGCTATTGGTTGAAACTAAAAAAATATGTATGTTATGAACTCTATCACATATGATTTGATTTTATACCTCTGAGACAATTAAACATGCTTTCTTTTACTAATAACTAATTCTCGATCGTAAATTCATATTAAAAGTAAGAAACATGAATAAAATTATTTTATATACTACCTTCGGTTCTTATTACTCGCAACAAAGGAATATTTTATACATCACAAATAATACCCCTTGTTGCGAGTAATTAGAACCGGAGGTAGTTCGTATTTTTTTTATGAGAAAATGAAGAATCAAAGAAAGGCAGGGGTGCAACTACGTTGAAATATATATGCTTTTTGTAAAACCAGTGAAATGGCATACATGTATTATGTGCTATGTAGAAATTGAAAGGTTGTGAAATTGAGCCAAATTATGAGTTGCTTATGTTTTAAATACATTGAAGGATAATGAAATAGTATGTGTGGTTTTTAATTGATGTAAAGTGAAGGAGAGGTAAACATGAAAAAAAAGAAAAAAAAAAAAAGAAAAAAAGAATATGTTCATGTTCTCTTCACTTTTTTTGTTTTTTTTTACTTGAAATATGATAAGGTATGTTGGTCTAAATAATTCTTCTAGTAATTTGTTCTAGTACTATGATCTTATTTATTGACTTATAATTTATTTAATCATTATAATTATTATTATTATGGTTTCCTTAGTTCCCAAGAAAATCCCATTCAAACAAACAATATTAAAATATAGTACGTAGAATAATGAAAGATTTCCTTGTTTACCAAGAAAACATATATAAAATATAATAATACTTCCTCATACAGCCTTATACTACTATATAAACGAGCCTAAATTAACACAACGAGAGACAAAAAAACCAACACAAGAACTACTACATTACTATACTTGTACTAACCCACATCATTTTACACTCCTAACCTTCAAAACATTTTGCAAGCACATGGAGCTTTCAAAAATTTGCATCATCTTCTCCCTTCTTGTTTCTTTCTCGTCCGCCACTACTAGTGTTGTTGACTTTTGTGTTGCGGACTTTAACTTTCCTGTTACACCAGCAGGATATCCTTGTAGGAATCCTGCTAACTTGACTGTGGATGACTTTGTTTTTTCCGGTTTAGGTGTCGCAGGTAACACATCAAACATCTTCAATGTTGCTGTAACCTCAGCTTTCGATCTCACTTTCCCAGCTGTGAACGGCCTAGGTATTACCCTAGCGAGGTTAGACATAGGAGTGGGCGGAGTTGTTCCGATCCACTCACATAGAGTATCAGAAGTTATCTTAGTCACTGAAGGGACAATCATTGCAGGATTTATAGGCTCAGATAACACTGCGTACTTTAAAACATTAAATAAGGGGGATGTTATGATCTTCCCACATACATTGCTTCACTTCCAAGTTAACGTGGGTGATTCTCCCGCAGTTGCATTCGTAAGCTTGAACAGCGCGAATCCTGGTTTTCAATTTATTACTACTTCAATAGGAGCAAATAACTTACCAACTGAAATTATTCAAAAGATCACTTTGTTTGATGCTGCACAAGTACAAAAGGTGAAGAAACTCTTTGGTGGAACAAATTAGTAAGAATATATACCTCATTTACATCAATATGCCTCATGAAGACATGATATTGTGTGTTACCAATGTTGTATGCAACTTATAGATAAAATCATGTGTTGTAAAATAGAATAACATGATGTACAATAAAACGAAGTATTATATTACTCGTACTAGTTCATTTAATTCCAGCTTTATCAATTTAATAAGATATATTACGTAATGTTGAACTTTATATTATGTTTATTGTTACTACCTCATTCCAGTTTTCTCATTGATTGATGATTTATAGTTTATACAATGTCTTAGTTCTTACATAATTAAAATTTACACTAATATTTCTATAAACTAAAACATATACAAATTGATAAACTCAAGAACGACGGGAGAAAACGGCTTAGCCATCTGTATTCTATTAATCACAAATATATACTCAATACAACAGAATACCTAACTTGCCTAAAACTCCTAACAAGATAGACTTGCCAAATATACAATATTAACATAAATATAACAAACCAAACTCTAATACTCCCCCTCAAGTTGGAGCATGTAAATCACGAATGCCCAACTTGCGTAAGAGAAAACCAAACTACTGACGTCCAAGAGCCTTGGTGAGAATATCTGCTAACTGATGACCTGTCGGAACATATGAGGTAGAAATATTACCGTTTAACAATTCATCACGAACAAAATGACAGTCTACCTCAATATGCTTCGTACGTTCATGAAACACCGGATTCTTAGCTATATGCAAAGCCGACTGATTATCACAAAACAACTGCATAGGCTTTGAATGCTTAACACCAAGAACAAACAACAACATTTTCAACCATTTCAACTCACGAGAAGTGAGGGACATAGACCTGTATTCGGCTTCAGATGAGGATGTGGCTACAGTTGGCTGTTTCTTAGTCTTCCAAGAAACAGGGGAATGACCTAAGAAAACAAAATAACCTGACAAGGAACGCCGACTCAATGGGCACGCTGCCCAATCACTATCACAAAACGCCGTCAAGCGTAAATCTGTCGTAGGTCGCAACAAAATACCTTGTCCCGGACTACCCTTAAGATAGCGCAAGACACGAATGGACGCATCCCAATGAGAAACCTGTGGAACACTCAAAAACTGTGCCAAAACATGCACTGGATAACTCAACTCCAGTCGAGTGACCGACAAGTAAACCAAACGACCAACCAAACGACGATACTGTTCCGGATGAGCGAACGGCTCACCGGAAGCATGTGCAAGACGATAATTCTGCTCCATCGGAGTATCAATGGGTTTACAACCCAACATTCCTGCCTCAGTCAAAATATCTAGAGCATACTTTCGTTGTGAAAGAAAGATACCCGCGGGACTCCGAGCAACCTCAATGCCTAAGAAATACTTAAGCAAACCCAAATCCTTCATATAGAAGCATTTTCTCAAATAGGCTTTTAAACGAACAATGGCATCATGAGAGGAGCCTGCAATTATCAAGTCATCGACATATACATGAACATGCAAAGAGACACTACCCTGTACATAGCTAAATAGAGAGTAATCAGCATATGAGTTTTTAAACCCAAAACCTCGCAGAGCACTTGACAGTTTTGCAAACCACTGTCTCGGGGCTTGTTTCAAGCCGTATAAAGATTTCTCCAACCTGCATACTTTGCCAGGTGTCGGAGTACCGTACCCTGGAGGTAATTGCATATATACTTCTTCATCCAAATCACCATGAAGAAAAGCATTATGAACATCCATCTGATGTAACTCCCAATTCAAAGATACTGCAATAGACAACAAGATATGTACAATAGTCATCTTTGTAACTGGAGCTAACGTCTCATTATAATCAACACCTTCAACCTGTCGGTTGCCACGAACAACCAAACGAGCCTTGAGACGTTCCACCTTTGACTTGTCTGTGTACTTGATTTTGTACACCCAACCACTACCAATAGCCCTCTTGCCTGGAGGAATATCCACAACGGTCCATGTGCCATTGCGTTCTAGAGCATCAATCTCATCTTGCATAGCCTTACGCCAACCGACGTCTTTAACCGCCTCTTTGAATGAAGACGGTTCCTTTCCCTTGGTGATCGTCGCTAGAAAACACATGTGTCTGTTAGAAAAACGATTATATTCAACATGACAAGCTATAGGGAAAGGTTTGCCTGAGGAATGTGATTGAGGAGGGACGACAGTTGATGTAGAGGGGTCTATATTTTCAGTAATGATAGTATGAGTGACATAGTTTCGATGCCACAAAGGAGTCCGTTTTTCACGATGACCACGACCCAAATTATCCGACGAACTCCCCCTCAAATATTCCGTATTAATGACAATATTTTCATCAACTATTTCACGCTCCGGAACACTACTAGAAAAAACTAGAGTACTTTCTGTATGAGGCACACAACCCGAAGCTTGAAGACAATCTGCGTCATGAGGCGAAGAAGAAGAAGAAGAAGAAGCCGGTGAAGAAGAAGAAGCCGTCGAAGAAGAAGAGTGGGAAGCAGCCTCCACGACCTGCCCGTGGCTGGAGAACTGCTGTCGCAGCCTACCCGCGGCCTGCTGCTGCGGGGCTGCTGTTTTTCCAGCCTGTTCCGCAGCCTGGTCGCGGCTGGGGGCTGGCTTCCGCAGCCTGCCTATGGGCAGGTCTACCAGGGGGGTAGAACCGAGGTGAGCAGGCTGCTCCGCAGCCTGGTTGTGGCTGGGCAGCTGCTCCCGCAACCCGGATACAGGGTGGACTGTTTTAGGCGCATTTCCCCCTCCTTGTACACCAATTTGCGTCCCGAGCACATCGTCATCATCATCCCACACCGGGGGATTTGCAAAATATTTTTCCCACAATAATCTTCGCTCATCGGGAAGGGACTCAAGATACGGAAACTTATCTTCGAAAAATTGAACATCCCGACTCACAAAAAATTCATTCGTCTCTAAATCATAAAGACGCCAACCCTTCTTTCCATGAGGATACCCCACAAAAATACATTTTCGGGAACGCGAATCAAACTTGTCTTTTATCCGAGGACGATTTGCGGCATAAGCAAGGCAACCAAATACACGCAGAGTATCAAAAGATGGAACTTGACCAAACAATAATTCATGGGGGGTCTTACCCTTGAGTACAGGAGTTGGAGTCCTGTTAATCAAATGAACAGCTGTCATAACACACTTTCCCCAAAAATACTTAGGCAACTTTGCCTGAAACCGAAGAGCACGAGCCACATTTAAAATCTGACGATGTTTACGTTCAACTGGACCATTCTGCTGAGCCGTGTCAATACACGACGTTTGATGCAAGATGCCTTTCTTAGCAAAGAAAGAACCCAAACTGAGAAACTCCTGACCATTATCACTACGAACCACCTTGACCTTACGACCAAATTGAGTCTTAGCCATAGCACAAAACTCACGAACTAACTGAGCAACTTCATATTTACCAACCATTAAGAACACCCAAGTAGAACGTGAAAAATCATCAACAATGGTAAGAAAATATCGAGCATCACAACTAGACAAAATCTTATTTGGGCCCCAAATATCACAATGAATCAAGTCAAAAATACCAGTTGCTCGATTCGTACTCAAAGGAAAAGAGTTACGGGGTTGTTTCCCCATAAAACAAATATCACAATCAAACGAACAACCAGAAGAACTACTATGAGCATGAGTACTACGAGAAACTCCCGGAAGGGAACTAACCACTTGCATTGATGGATGACCAAGACGTTTGTGCCATAACAAACTTGCATCAGAAATTATCACTTTGTTTGCCTGAGAATTCCGAGCACGAACCGGATGGAAAATATAGACCCCATCACACTGCTCCCCCGCTCCAATCAGGTTCCTCATATTGCGATCCTGAATAATGCATAGCTTGTTAGTGAACATAACAGAATAGGATTGTTTTTCTAACAACTGGGACACAGACAACAAGTTGCATTTAAGAGCAGGAACAAAAAGAACATTATCAAGAGTTAAATTATCAGATAGAATAACTCTCCCTTCTTTTGTAGCAGTAGTGCTCTTCCCATTAGGCAAACCAACAGGAGACGAAATATCAGATAAATGTGTAAATAAATCGATATTACCAGACATATGATTTGAAGCTCCAGTATCAATGAGCCAATCGACAGAATTATAGGTGCGAATAGACGAAGAACTCGAGCACTGAACGACAGATAAAAGTCTTTTCCATTGCTCATCAGTAATAGTAGGAACACTCCTACGATCTGCGTCAGTAAGACGCTCAAATATACGGTTAGATTGAGCCCCCATTGAAAGAGAACACCAAGCAGCTCAATAACACACAAACCAAAAGATAGCACCAACCACACGCACCAAAAAAAACAAATGACCAAACTAGCTCAAACAACCAATACCACAAAAAATATAACCAAACCGCACCACCACAATTCACAAAATAAAGTATCCAACTTGCTCCCACCAAACAACAAAATAGCTGCAAGTATAAAGTCCAAAGAATAGCTACTAATAAATTAATAATAATAGCCTTGAATAGCAAGGAACACAACCACAGTGCTTACTAAGCAATGCAAGACAACAAAGAAAAAATGGCGGCCTTGAAAGAAATAAAGAACGATGCTTACTCACAACCACGAAACAAAGAATAAGCTGAACACTGAACAAGAACCTACTGCCCACACGAGCAATAACACCAAACCAAAGCTGCCACTCTACTGGACAACCCACACACGCAACTAAACCAAGCACGCTGCCGCAACACCACAGCAGCAAAACAACAATACGCAACGCACCAACACAAAGATCGCAGCACACACACACCTACTGCCACGCACCACACACAGCAGCAACACACCGACGCAACACACACAATGTTGCAGCGCACAACACACCAACCAAGCACACACACAACACACACTTCCAGCACGCACCGCAAGCAGTACTACAATAGATAGCACCACGCAAGAACAACTAATTAGGGTTTGTGAGCCCTAATTATGAGCAAATTGATCGAATTTGCAATAATAAAAAATCTGGAAAAATAATTCGAAGCCTAATTTTCTCAAACAAACAATTAATATGCGGAAGTAATTAAAACAAACCAAGGATAAAAAAAAACTCTAGAAATTAGAGAGGCCTGATACCATGATAAACTCAAGAACGACGGGAGAAAACGGCTTAGCCTTCTGTATTCTATTAATCACAAATACATACTCAATACAATAGAATACCTAACTTGCCT